CAAGTATTTGTTGAGGTGGCAACGCTGTTCTGGAACCTGAGTGCTTCTGGCTGTATTCGCCTCACTGTGAGCATGCTGCTGACACGGATGCTGTCTCCTATTTTAGACACGGGAAATGGGTCCCAGATCTTCAGAGGTGGGAAAATTCCTCTGTGATGAAATGTTCCTATGCTTACAGAAATCAGCAGTACAATTAGAAGCTTGGGCTCCAGAAATCATTATTTGCTATCTGTGTTTTGCTGCACAGTTTGAAGAGGTGATCTGTTAGAAATCTGCACATCTACTTGGTTCACCAGCTAATAAAAAAGGAATAAGCATAATAATGACAAAGCAAGCATGAATGATATTGTCTTGACATTTGCAAAGCTCAGGTGGACTGAATAATAATGGTCTGCTATTTGCCTTGCAACAGCAGCCAAAATAGGTTCCCTGCTCCTGTTTATACCAAAGAAACAGGGCAGCAGGCATACACAGATATACACGTACCTATGCTGCTGTGTAAATAATAAAGTCAGACTAATCTGGTCCTGTAGCCATTAATGGTCAGAAGATGCTGAGAGTTAAGAAACTAAAGATGGATTTAATGCATTCCAAGGGATAAGATTTTCCAGCTGCCTTTTTAGGTCAGATCTATACTCCCATTGCTCCTTGAAGTGTGGTTTTGGGCACTTGTGGGTACTTACCTGCCCACATGCCAAGTTCTGACTCACCTTGCTGTGGGCAGCAGCAAAAGCCATCTTTCAATTTTAAATGCTTGTTCACCTGTACATCCACTGGCTCATGAGGAGAGCTTTGCAAATGAAGCACTGGGCATGGAGTAACCAAAGCAAATTCAAAGTGGTGTGCTCAGCACATCTTCAGCTCTATGCACAACCCAGTTGTTGCACCACAGAGGTAGAATAAATTGCATAGTGTAAGAGTGTCTCTTGGTTCATTTATTACAGCTGCTATGCAGAAAGCTTATTGTCTCCAGGAAATGGTACATGTGGATACTGTATGTATGACAGAAAAATACCAGAGGCTTTTTATATAAAGCTCTCTCACCTGCTAGAACAGCAGTCTTGACTTACAAGGTTTGCTCCCAGTGGGGAACTTAAAGTTGGTGGTGGGATGTACACAAAACCCAGAACTTAACCCCATTAGCTCCTCAGCTGTAACTTCTTGAGTCTGTTTGGCCACACCTGAGCCAGCCCTGGGCTGAACAATGTATTTCAGGACACTCGAGGCACTGGAAACAGGGTGGCTGGCCAGCCTGGCTGCTGCCCCTTCCTCTAACTGTTCTGCAAAGGCAGTTCCACTGTAGTGCAGCCCCTTCCTCTAACTGTTCTGCAAAGGCAGTTCCACTGTAGTGCAGCTCCATGCACTGCCGCTACTGAAAGGCAAATCTTGGCACTGCACCCACAGGTGCTCTAGCTTGTTTCACTCCCCTTCAAAGACAAAGCCTTAGTGTGATTATGCCTTGTCCTGAACGATCCTGGGTATCTCCATGGAGAGCAGGGAGTCTTGCAGGAAACAATATCAACCAAGACTTCTGAGAGAAAGAGGAATTAGGTAGCAAGAATGACTGCTAGCTTGCTTTCGAGGGGAAATAGCAACCCTTGATGTGCTGCTACCTGATGAGCAAGCCTAATACAGCACTGCCTACTACTAGACATCTTCCACTAGTCTAATGGCTTACAGTTTGCTCCAGACAGGCCCCAAGGGATACTGAGGTCTTCTCCTGAGGCTGCTCCTCTGAAACAAGCACCCCCACCACTGCTCCACTCTGATGGCAACGCTGGTCCTGCAAACAACATCAGAGCTGCTGTGATTCTGCACTCATGCCAGGTTTTGCAAGGAGAAGGAGCCAGGAAGCTTTGTTTCTAGAAATGTGACTTAAGATTGTCTAGAATTAGAGTTCCAGAACTAGTTTGGGGTTTGGGTGCTTGCTTGCTTCAGTGGTGGGGCTTGGTTTATATTTTCATTACAGCCTTCAGGGACTGAGCCAAGCTGCAGTCAACCTTTCCCTCAAGCTTGTTCTCACAAAGCAAGATCAAGATACCAAAAAGTCTGTCTGGAATGTGGAAATCTATGGTAAAAATATTAACTGAGCAAGCCTGCAACTGCTGTAGCCACTAGTTAAGAAAATCAATCTACTGCATGATGGGCAAAAGAACGTTTATCAGTTTCTGAATGGACAGGGTGCTTCAAAAGCTCTGGTGGATCTGTCAGGAGAGTTGTTTTATATAGTAAGGAGAAATCTGATCATTAAAGAAGTATCTGGAGAGCTGGGAGCTCCATCACAGCAACTGAAATAGGAGCTCAGAAATGTTTCTGGGTATCTTTGGTAGAATTCAAGTAGCTCAAAAGAAGAAATAACAAACGTTCACTGGGGTCTCCATTTCTGTTCCCACTTACTTAAAAAGTAACTGACTGAAGGCGAGCTACTCTGAGCATAGCGTAGACTGACCATGAGAAAACACTATTGGAAGAAAAAGAAAAGCAAAGTCCAGTCTGGAATATATGAAGATCAGCCACATCTTCAATGGGACACATCCCAGTTCATCTGCCACAAATTCCCTGTAAAGATAACACAATATTGTAAATTCATGCCCTTCCTGATGTTTGGCACATTCTGTCTCCCATAAAAAAGAATTAGGTAAAAAAGGTTCAATTTCTTGTCTTTTATTTTAACTTTTAGATCTTCTCTGAATAATACACTACCCTCTGTATTTCATTAGAACTTTGACATCCAGTATATTTTCAGAGCATGCAGTGGTTTTAGCTAGCAAATAGGAGCCAAAGGTGATCTGAAGAATCATGCAGTACTCTCATTATAGTAACTAGTATGGACAGCAGGGAGTAGTGGCCTTTCTCTCATGATGGCTATAACACAAGGCCTGGCAGAATAGATCTGCTTGACAACAGCCAACACAGCACCATGGTGGGGAAAAAAATACTGGGTCTGCTTTATACAGGCAGCCTGATGTTAATTCCAAATGGCATCTTACCTTCTTGTTAACGTTTCAGACAGACACACATAAAAGCGAGAAGTATGAGCAAACACTTTTGGTTTAAAAAAATTCTCCCTATGGTTCAAAAGTTTATTACCTTTTTGTGACCAATTTTCTGACAGGAAGAGACCATTATAACAATTTTAAAATGTTTCAGGAAGCAACATATGCTGCGCATTCAACATATGCTGTGACAAAATTCAAGGTAGTTAAGTGGTAAATTTGCAGCTGTCTGTGCAAAACAAAATTACTGACAAAAAAAGAAAAAACAACAAACACTGCAAATAACCCATTAATGAGGAAAGTATCACAGAACTATAGAATGGTTTGGGTTGGAAGGGATCTTAAGGATCAGCTGGTTACAACCGTCTGCCACAGGCAGGGAGACCTTCCATTAGACCAAGTTGCTCAAAGCCCCATCCAACCTGGCCTTGAACACTGCCAGGGATGGGGCATCCGCAACTCCTTTAGGGAACCTGTTGCAGTGTTTCACCGCCCTCACAGCAAAAAATTTCTTCCTTATATATTATCTAAATCTACCCTCTTTCAGTTTACAACCATTCCCTCTTGTCCTGTCACTACACGCCCTTGTCAAAAGTCCCCCTCCAGATTTCCTGTAGTCCCTGTTTAGGCACTAGGAGGCTACTAGAAGGTCTCAACTGAACCTTCTCTTCTCCAGGCTGAACAACCCCAACTCTCTCAGCCTGTCTTCATAGGAGAGGTGCTCTAACCATCTGAGCATCTTTACAATTCGTATTGTGACTATCATTCATTTGGCTAGTTCTGAATTTAAAGAACAATATACAAAAAGGCAACAACAACATTGATCTGTACTATAGAAATACATTACCTTTGTTGGTGGCAAGGACCTTCATACACATGAAGTCAAAACAAAGAAAGTGATGTCAGATTGTCTCATGAAGTTTCAGCAGACATTTTCTGGAAGATTATCTTACTTAATTTTTCTGTGCTACTTACTCTCACATAGCAATTCCATGCAATTCCATATTTACTTCTGGTACCGTGATTTTCTGGTGCAAAAATAACACAAAGAAAGCCCCCCTGAGTCTATGACAAGCTTAGTAGGGATTAAGCGCTGTAAAGCTAACACATTAAGTGTCACCAGAGCTACATCTTTTTCCACAGAGTAATAGGATGAAGCAACATAATGGTATACTTGTACAGCAAGTACCACATGAGCCACACAATCATGTTGACAATGCTGATTAACGGCTCTACCTTGCATTTGCAATGATTAATTTCATATGAAAGCATCCTAATAATAGATGTTCTGACTGAGCTCTGCTATTACACAACAGGACAGTAAATTGGCCAGTAGGAGGTTTGGGTCTTGCTGAGATAATGACAAATACCTGCCAGTACAGCTGTCAGTCTATTTCTGCTTTCAAAAATATAAATACATATCCTGATTATGCTGTTTGCATGGAGAAACCTGGAACATCTTCAGTGTATCCAAGGCCTAACCAGGCTATCAGGACCCTAGTCTAATGCTGCTAAAATTTCTTTCAAATTTCTTCCTGACACATAGAAAACCAAATCAGCTAAAAGGAAGTCTGGTCTATAACCTTTCTTGTAAGAGTCTCTCTCCAGGTCTGCCCCCCTTTTCCAATGACATGAAGCAGGTAATGATTCACACACCAAATGTGGACAAATAAATGTTACTAGTCAGGATTTGTGAGGTATTTTCTGTTGTAGAATTGTAAACATAACTTAAGTGGCATTGCAGTGCCTGTTAAGGCCTCCAGCAGCATTGATTACAGCTACTAAAACTCAGACCTTATTGTTTGTGTGTCTTTTGTTCTCTGTTCCACTGTTTCCTGAGTTATTTTCCCTTTTATTCATTTTTCTGGGGGCTTTGATTCTTCCATTCCTATTCAGACACAAGGCAAGAAGAACTTCTCAAGGACAATATGTGCTGCTCAAACCCATGTCTAAGGTCATGAACTATATTTCATTTAGCTCAAACAGAACACAAAACTTTAGAAGCCCATTGTAGCTATCAATTTTATTCGAAAGGTGTCTTCTATACATTTTTAATATATAGAAATAAATATGAAAGCCCTATACAAATATGAACATTTAGAGTATCAATACTGCCCTTTATTATTTATACTCATTTTTCAACACTTAAGAGGGACAAAACTACATCAAAAAGCCCACATATTTAGTAAAATAAATTTTACAAAATCTCAGATCACAAATATCCATATCTGACAGAATCTTCTAGACTGAGTTTTCTTTCACACATATGCACACTCTACACAAAATATGCTCAGCTGCCTTTGAGAATGTCACAATATAGACTGATGTACATTTTCCTTGAGATGAACAGTAAGAACAGTCATACTCAAGTTATACTCCAGTATAGGAATTTGGCAGTATCACTTTAAATGACATACTGTGTTAACATCATTATTTTTAAAAACATTCCAATAAATTAAAAAGAACACAATATTGCTTTCGAATAAAACCCAAGTAGTTAATACAATTCAGAATAGGCATTTGCATTCGTATAACATGATTCTTCCCCAGAAGCTTTGAGCAATTTAATTCAACACCACGTAAAATGCTTTTGATACAAAATAACATCATAAAATAAGTAAGCTTTTTGCTAACCATAACTTATAGCCTCTTTCCCATAAAGTGATATTTTTCCAACATAGGGCATCATTTACAAGTACTCTCACTAATTTACGCATTTAAAAGAGTATAAAGCAAAGCACATGATTAAATGGTGGGAGGAATGGTACTAAACTGAATACAACGGCTCTTTCAAAAGTTGTTTTTTTATTGTTTGGGTTTGGTTTTTTTTGCTTTACTTTTAAGAAAATTTCAAACACCAACAATATTGAAAGGAGACCATGTAATAAAACAAAACCTCTTTGGCCTTCCTCAACAATTTTTCCTTATCCCAAAACTAAAGAGTTCCCAGATGTTACTTTAGGAACTGTAGATTAAACTTTCTGGCAATCAGAGGAAATATTTCCTATTTGGACAATAAAAGCACAGGCTTTAGTTCAGACAAAATATAAGAATATAATTTACTGTAAGTGCACACTCTTTCCTGTTCATTCAATTCTCTTCGGTTAAGGGAAATACATAGGACTTCCCTCTCAACCCTGATTTAATAACTTACATAAATAACAGTGTTTGAAGAATATGGATGTTTAACAGTTTACACCTATACTAGATTTAAAGGCTATTTGGAAATGTCTATCCTGTTTTGCAAAAGAACTAGTACTTTTAAAGGGAACATTGTACTAATCTTTTCTTTCCTTCAAAACAGAAATTTATGAGCTCATGTTACTAAACAGTACTCTTATTTCCACTTCTTAAAGCTTAAATGCTTGGCTCATTCTTTCAAAGAGGAATTTGCAGATTCACTGAGAAGTATACGGGACAACTCTCTACGCAAAGGCAGATATCTAATATGGCTTGGTTTGGAATAGCAGCTGTGCTGAGGGTTCTCATTCACAGCACTGGAATGATACAGAGTCATAACAAGCTTCCTTGGTTCACTGCAGTTCTCTAATCAATTTTCACTCCTCCAAACTCCTTCTGAAGTCACCCAGTAAAACTAAATGTTTTCCTCTATAGGTTTTGCAGGCATAGCTAGAAGTTCTACAGGCCACAGAAGATTGACCGTTTCCCAGCAGCACAAGAGTAACAACCTGAAGAAAGGTTTCATAAACGCTGTACGGCATTAATCTGGCCTGCAAAACCTAGTTACAGTGATGACGATCAAGACAGTAAGGACCTAGCTCTACAGCAGAACTAACATTCAGGTTAAAGAGTAACCATAGGTGGTGGGGTTGGGGGGACAGTACAACAAAATAGACAAGAGACCATGTACATAAAGACCTGCAGTGTCAAAAAAACAAAAAACAAACCGAAACCAAAACACAAAAACCGACACTTTCAAGGTAGGAATGTATTTGTCAAAAACTAAACTTCTGAACTTTGCCCCATTACGAATTATTTGAAGTCTGGGTTCCTGAGCTTGATTCTAGGCAGCAGGAAGGGCAAAGGAAAGTGTTTTGTATCTTAAAATATACAGCAGTATCATTAGGACAGTATTTAAAACCTATTATTAGAATTAATAAGTTACAAATATGACCTTAAGAATATTTTAACTAAATAGCAGTTCATTCAGAAGACCTTAATCTTCTTTCTTTTGTGTTTGAAATCGTTCCATCAAAGCCCTAAATATATTTCCTGGTAATTTCTGATGCTTTTCTATCAGAGCTTGGAGTGCTGCTTTTGTCTGTAGGGAAAGAAAAAAGTTCTTGGTCAAATTAAGTTTTCCTTATATTGTTCATACATCAACACAATTTCTAGGTTCTTTTTCATCCCTTCAAGCGAAACAAAACTACTCAAAGTTCAAAATACTATTTTTCCACATTTAAGCCCACAGGATGCATTTGTGAGATCACTACCAATGAACACAACAACAAATTAGTATCATTTATCTCTGGTATCTGGTGTTCACAAGCTCTATTAGCAACAGGCAGTATTAAAATGACAATGGAGTAATCAAGAGACCTAGATCTATAAAGCACATCAGCACCAGAGTGGTGTGCTGCAACTCAGAAACTTCTGCCTATGCCCAAGTAAGTTTGCATCAGTAACGCTTTTCCAGTATGCAGGAACTTTGCATCTACACATGCCCATAAGCAGCACTGGAAACACATTGTGTCTCAGCACATTTGGGTTGTACAAAGTAATGAACTCTGCAACCAAATTCCCTAAAGGAGCTGGTCCTGTAAAGCATGCTTAGACCATACCTAAAATAGTGCGTATGACAGCAGCATTCACTTTCACTCAAAAATGTAGCAGGCCAAGAAGTTAATAGTAGTCATTCTTATTATTATATAAAAGCCCTATGGGAACATCCAAAACCAGGGCAATATTCAAAGGCTACAGTGAGGATTTGCTACGACCTTCCTATTCGGCCTGGAGAGGCACAGATTACTGAATTCTTAAGGCCAGAAACAGAACAATTTGCCCTTGTAAACCAGTGGTTAGCAAGGGGAAAATTGGTTCTTGGTACAAGCTCGCTGTTATATGAAGTATGTGATCAACTGTTAAATCCTGGAGAAGGCTTCTACCCACATCTCTCTATAGATCTGGTCCTAAATGTCTCCACAGATTTACAGTTTCTATTGGGTAAAAAAAAAAAAAACTGAGCTTAATTTTTCTCTATCTAAAGGGAAAACGCGCATTGTGCCATAGCCTGAAACATGCGATACAACTTTAAAATCACTCTAACTATAATTCTAGGGGATTCACGTTCTAGGGACCTTATTTGGCAGAATTTGCATGTAAGCCAGAAGCAATTGAGGGTGGCACAAATATAAGATGATAAAGCATATTTTAGAGTCATTTAAACACATTCTTTCCTGAAAGCAAATAGTTCTGAAGTCCTGTCAGACTGTACCCCCAAACGAAACAATCAGTTTTCCATAACCAGGGCATAAGATAGTGCAGATATTTTCAGATGTCATTTTGCAGAGATCTAACAAGAGGGTAAACAGATGAGGAGAGACAACTGAACTGTCACCTGCATGGTCAAGAAGAAAAGCATCTTTCTCTGAAGTTTTCAGAATGCTAAAAGTGACCATCTGTGGAGCTTTCAAAAATGGCTGTTTCAGCCTCCTCCATCTGACTCCTCTATCACTTAACTGTTTTATGTCTCTGTGTTGTGAAATCTATTAATAAACTGAATGAACATGAGGACCTGACAATCATTTTTATAAACCACCTACATCTGAGCTAGAGGAACATTCCAAAGTTAATTTGTTGGGTGAGAAGTTGGAGGATGTGGAAACAGAAACACACTATTCAAAGTAGTGAAATTATTTACCTTAATTTTTTTATTGTATGGAATTCCACCAGCTTCTGAACACTGATTTACTGTATTTGAAAGGCTTCAATAGTATCTTTGTGAGAAGACCAAGAACCAGAACACTTTCTGGTAAAGCACTTGCGGCTGTGTCAGGGACACTAGATAATGGTCCATGGTGGAACACACAAAAATAGAAAAGTACTGTTTGTTCGTGGTAGCTCCACCCCAAAAAGCTCAGCTTGGCTCCTCCCCGGAAGGTCCCACTTTGGCTCATCCCCAGAAAAGTCCCAACCCTCAGACACTTTTCTAGGTATCGCTGGCCACTTCTTCCGACATAGGCTGGCCCCCTACATCAGAATGAGTGTGCATTTTCACTAGCGTAAAAGCCCGAGCCTCGGGCAATGCAGGGAGGCAGAACCTCATATCATCCAGGTCAACACTGCTTCTGCGGGGACGCCTGCTGGGGTTGAGCCTGCCACCTCACACTGTGATGATGTTTCTTGGAGCTGGTTTCCTCATCATCATTACATGGTCTTTGGGGTCGGTAAGATAACCAAGTATCAGAAATATCCTTTACTGTATATTTTGTTAACTCTATATTTTCCCTGTATTAATAAACTAGTTGTGATTCTTTATTGTGTTGTGTTTCTCTCAACCCAGAATCCTCGAACTCTGAACAGCGTCTTTATCAAACCAGAGCAGTCTTATCTGACTGAACTTCTTCAGTCCCTAAAGCAATATCGGATGCAGTACTGACTTCAGAAAGCCTGGAAAATCTGCAAGGTCTAGTAATAAAATAAGAGCATTTAAGAAGGGCATTCAGAGTTAAGCAAGCCCAAAGCCTTCCATGATTCCACCAACTTCTATAACTAGCTCCATGGGAGAAATGACCAGAATATTCCAGTGTTTTCTATCATTACACTGAACATTTTAAATATATATATATATATGTATATCTCTCTTACCTTTGCAGTTAGCTCCTCTGCTGTTACATTTGGTTCGTATGGAATGGGTTCTCCAATAAATGTGCGAAGCTTGACTGGAAACCCACCGTACACAGGAACTATTGGCAATCTAATACGTTCATACAGTGACCTAAATATTTCTAATGTGAAAAAATGTAGGGGAAAGCAGGAGAAGGAAAAGGGAGGGAGGTGGGGAGGAAAGAGAAAAAGAAAAGGAGAGGTTATTTGGTAATGTTTATTTTCCCCCAGTATGTCTTAAAACTGAAACTGGCTTGTCAAGTAATCCAGCCCCTGACTCAGATTCTCAAACAACGTGTCATCTCAAGTGCTATTTCCTAAAAGCTGTGTTAATGCTAATATCAGGCATGTTTCCACCCTAACCTAGTGAGAAATCTCTCCTTCAAAGAGCAGCTGCAAAGAGAAGGAAGGAGAAAAATCTTGTAGCTGCCTCTCTGGAGAGTAAGGGAATGCTAGATAATACAGGTTAAAGTTCAGCTAAATTTACAGGTTAGCATAAGAAACTAGTATTGGAAGACTGTTCTCTTTAGTCCCATTGAGGTCTAGAGGATCAGAAATAATTTTATCTGACTAAAGGCCAGCCATGTTAAAACACAGACATGTTAAAACATTCCTCGCAGTGAAACAATATAAAAAGAGAGAAAAAGGTATTTTGATCAGCTCTAAGATGACACATCTTCCCCACATGCCACTTTCTAAGCATCTAGCCCAAATGCACCCAGACCAGATTGCTTGCAGAATGGGTGCTAATATTCTTTCTCTTGTTTGGGATGATTCTCCTGAACACAGCAATAATTAATTGCTGTTTATTCTTGTAAAACCTGATGAATATGTGAATTATTCTGCACACCTACATCTGATGGCTTGGCTTTCTCCATGTTATATGTAGCTTTTAATTACAAGGGTAGAGAAGCAAGTGTTTTGCCATGCATTCCTCTGATGAAGATGATAATGCCATACTCAAGGCAGAACTTGCGACATGGAGGAGACTGTTCAGACCCTTTCTGTTAGATAGCAAGTTGGAGATTATAGAACAAAAGGGGGTTTAACACTAGAAGATCAGCAGAGATGTGGGCATTTAATCATCCCAGAGGTGTACCCTTCAGATATATACCCTTCTATTCATCTGCTGGCTGGAAGTCTCATATTGGTGAGGAAAGACAGCAAGCAAATGCATGGTTTTGTAAGGAACGACAGGTCTAGTGCTAAATAGTAAACCAACTACAAATTAAGTATGTTTAAACCACGCGAAGTACAGGTAGATGCGCAAGCACAGAGCTTTAGGAGAACATTTAAAGCCATTATGTGTCAGTTGCAAACCCCTGTTTGTTTTGTTTCTTAACAGACAGCAGAAAACTTAAGAGTTGGTCTAGCAGACATAAGCAGAGAAAAAAGTGCTCAAAATCTATTTGCCATTTTTCAGCTCATTTTTCCTTACTTCTGCTGCTTCTCTGAAGGCAAAAAGTTATATGGAGAGTAACTTAGGTGAGGCAATACGACATATAATGCGGATATTAAATCCTGAATATGTCTGAACTCTACTGGAGAGCAAACCTCCAGAAACAAGGCCATGTCAAATCTCAAATTTATATGGGGATAATTTCTACAGAGAAAGGCTACACACATATGGAAAAATAAACTACAAAAAAATAGAAAATATCTTACTTATTCCTCCTAATGTCCTAACGCCTTCTCGAACATTTTGTGTAAACATAGGAATGATGGGCTAGGAGGGAAAAAAAATAAGTAAGAATTTAATGAAGATAGCACTACCTAAAAACTTCTACCTCACTTAAACCCAATAAGCAAATTAACTTTAGAAGTGTTTCTCAGACAAGGACATAGAGAGAGCAAATCAAGTATTCTTATTGTGCTGTACCCTTCTGCTATGTGGTTTCAAGCTAGAGAATACCATGAGATTTCAGTGAGTTATTGTTTCAGCATGTCCATTTTCTCAAAGCAGTCCAGGATTTCAGAACCAGGCCTCCCTCATCTAGCAGTGTTTGCACAGTTGTGATTTAAGTGGTTAAACCTCTAACCTAATTACACTCAAAATGAAGAATTCACAGGACTGGGATGCTAAACTTGTCTGATTCATTTCTGTTATGCTGATTGTGTTGCTTCACACATGCTGTGTCGTATTCAATACATGTCCATGATTTATTTCTGCTGATAAATATTTGGAATTGTGTTGAATATTTCAAGTTTTTGTTGGTGTTTCTGAACTTGCAAACAGCTGTCAAGATTTACAAGAACCAGGAGGGGATCGACTACTACATGAAGTTTTTAGTATCATTTTATAGTATGCATTCACTGTACGTAGCATCATCAGAAATACAGAACTTTATATGGAGATGAGCTAGTAAATGAAACTTTTCACACAGGTATTAAGTTGTTTTTTTTTGGGGGGGGCGGTACAGGAGAGGAAGTCTGTAAATAATTCAGTGCAAATATAGAGAATAAAAAGAACTGCAGTTGCCTAAACTGAATGGTAACAAACTTCTTCATTCTAGCACCATCTTATTTGGAACACCTTTTGACATAAAGGTAGAGATTTTTTTTATGTACTAAGTTGGCTTATGTGACAAAAATTCTGTCAAACAAATTACTGAAATGAGGCAACTTCAAGAAGTTTAAGATCCCAGTTTTAGACACACTTTTATTTCCATAAGGAGTTATGCTCCTGATTAAAGATGAGTTAAAAGTTTATCTTTAATCTAAATAAAGCTATGTTCCCCACTTTCAGCCTGCCTCCACACTATTCCTATTCTACTGCATCTCTCAGGGCTTTTTTGGGGGGGATGAAGCTGCAACACCTTTGTGAGTGCATAAAGGGAACTAAACACACATTCAGTAAAATAAATATAACTAGTACAACCATAGCTGAATCCCAAGTATGGTCTTTCATATGCAATTACAATACATTAGTAAAATCTAAATCTGTTGAAAATATCCTGTTCAAACAGTGTTATTTTCCTCCTGAGAAGTGATACACACCTAAAATTGGGTCTTAAAAGTCTCCAATTTCTGTATAAAATTGAGAGATTTAACTAGTCTCTCTTTGACAGTACCTAAATATAAATCTCTTGGTGTGAGACTTACTTTCTAATTAGGTATATGCAGACCTACAGACATATGCACACAAGTATAAATATAGAATGAAGGGGACTCTGTAATCTTATTAAAATAGTTACAATTCAAATATATCATACACTTATGCGCCTTTCACAGTTGGTCCCATATGATTAATCATCTGCCTGAGACCAAGCATAATGCTATATATTTGAACTGGGGAGACAGTTCACACTAGTGAACAGCATCTCCTGCTGTTGCTGCTTGTCCTAGACATCCCTTACTACCATAAAATGTCAATACAGTAAGCAAATAGTGCCAATGATTCCAAATTGTGCTGGGTCACAGTATATACTTCAATGATAGGGGAAACAGAAATACTAATGTACAGTTGCTTCCCAAACCACTGTCAGGGGTTGAGCTATCAGAATCCTGACTACGTACGTGTAAAAACAGCACATGCTTGTAATGTAGAAACCACCCTGGATTTCATCTCTCATTCTTTTAAACTCTGGATTTCCTGATGTTATTCTTAGCTAACTCCAAAGCCTTCTTATTGAAAGCAACAAAACCAGTCTTGAAATGTTGTTATGAAAGCAAGCAGCCCATATTCATGCTGAACGTAACACCAAATATATGTCAATCAAAACAGCTTTCCCTGGGAGAAAATGTTAACACTCTTTGCTTCTCTTCTGTGACTTGTCATACTTACCACTTTTGCATCGATGGCCACCTGAGCAAAGCCCTTCCGATGACCCCAAATAATAGTATACATTTCATCACTGAAGAGTGCTTCCCGAACTCCACCTGGGGCAATGGCTATCAGAGAGCCCTTCTTCAGAGCATTGACACATTCTTCTTTTGGTCCATGCATAACTCCATGTACATCAAGTAATATTTTAAAACCTGTAGGTTAAATAATATTACTTCAGAAAATGTTCATTCATAGTACCATCGAGTAGATTCCCAGCATGGAACACAATGGCTAAAACTTACTTGTCTAATAACCTGTAGCCCCAAATCAAAATGTTTCTAGAGGGACTGAAGCATTAAGTTTTCCTTATAAATTCTGGTCTAAAAAGTTGAAGATTTAGGAGTTTCAGTGGCTTTTTGTCACAGTAAATTCAGGTGCTATCTCACAATCAGGGCTAAACTGGACAAAAATGGCAAGCACTCTGTGACATTTTTCATGGGTCCCTTCAAAGGAATTGTTAAATCAGCTCCAGCACACTAGCTCGTGACTCTTTGCCCAAGCTCTAGTTTTCAAACATAGCACAGTCCTAATAAAGTGCAGCAGGAGAAAATACCAGCAAATCTTGGTGGGTTTTGTTCTATTAATTTTGGCAAACAAAGAGCAGTCTGTGCACAAGAAGGACAATGACAAAGAAAATGCAGCATTCTCTACGTTACAAACTGCTGCAGGAAGTAACTCCCTGGTTCAGTCAGTGAGTATGGCCTTTCCCATAAAGAGGCATCTGGCAAGCCTGGATTAGGTTTATCCATTTTAGGATAAGACTTTTCGTTTTCTTAAGCTTTTAACTGTAAAGTTACATAAACTTCTCATATAATTTTGCATTTCAAATGCCATATTCACCCTACTCTTCCAAGAGATAGCAGAACATCAAAAATTTGCTTGCAAGCATCAAATGGGCACATACCTGATCGACTAATCTAATGTGAAACAATAAAACTAGCATAAACCTCTGTTTGCAGGAAATCAGTCATGTTCACTTGCTTTAAAATCATACAGTTTCATGTTCACTTGCTTTTAAATCATACAGTATTTATTATGAGTACTGCATACCAAAATGTGAACTTTAGATGACTGAGCAGTATGGGAAATATATGAAAGGATGCTAATTTTACTAAGTACCAAGAAGTCCAAAATTAATTTTGTTCCACAGTCCAACCTGGACTCTGCCCTTTGCCCTAGCATATTCTTCTATTTTCAACAATATTGTGTCTGCATCAGTGTTTGAAAACCCTCTGAAGAGTACCCAGTAATACATTCAACACTTATCTCAGTTTGTGCACTATAGACAATTCTCTTACTTGTTACAGTGACTGTAACATAAGGGGCCATCAGCTCCTTGGAAACAAGATGACAAGGATGTCATTGTTTTCCTGTGGTTGACCTTTAGGATCACAAGGAGGTACATTTAGACCACTGAATCCAACCTTCCACAATTGTAGGTAACCACACATGCAAAACATCCAGTCCACAAGACACTTTGCAACACCTTGCGGATGCAGCAGGCAAGAAGCCACATCTCCTTTTCTCTGCAACATTACAGGAGAGGAACTGTCTTGCTATTGCTATGGAAATGCCTGATAGCAGGCAATCTTTTAAAGAGGGCTATGGGCCTTGCCGGCTCATGCATGCCTTAGGAGGCACAGCAACATTTTACAAACACACTCCAGTTAATTGCAGCTAATTTAGGACAGCAGCACCCAATGCAGCAGATGCAATAAGTTTGCCTACTGGAGGTTGGATACTGCCATGGATCTGAAATTCATAAGTATCATTAAATCATCTAATCCAAGTGTGCTCAACAGCCTACAGACTCCCCAAACTCACCCCCCCACACCACCACCCCATTTCTCCTGCAGTGACCATAATAAACTTCCAGTTAATTAAAACATCTTCTGAAAATGTATCCAATTTATTCTGAAGATTTAATCAAGATCAGGCAGTCTTAGTACTAGGATAAAATTATGGCAGTCTTTCTGGTTTGATTCACAAGAGAAGTGGCATCTATCTGAGTTGCCAGTCATAGATTACTGTGTGGATTTTGAAACACTATCCAGAACATTGTCTGGACTCTTTGGGCTTGTCTTCCATTAATAGCCCTAATTTATTCCCAGAACCAGAGAATTATTTGGTTAGAAAGGACCTCTGAAGGTAATACAGTCCAACCTCCCACTCAAAGCGGGTCCAACTAGATCAGGCTGTTCAGAGCCTCACCCATTGGAGTTTTGAAAGTCTCCAGGGATGGAGATACCCCAACTTGTCAGGCAAACTGTTCAGGTGTCTGATCACCCTCATGGTAAAATACCTTTCCACACATCTAATCACACATCTGATTTCCTGTGTTGCAATTTGTCTCTGCTGTTTCTCGTTCTATTGCAATGCACCTTTGAGAAGAGTCTGACTCCCTCTTTTCTGTAGCTTCCCGTTAGGTCGCTGAAGACTGCAATATATTCCCCCACCCTGATCTCAGACAGACCAAACAAATCCAGTTCTCTCAGCCTCTCCTCATACACTGTATACTCCAGCACCCCATCAGCCACTGAACATGCTCTATTGTGTCAATGTCTGTCTTGTACTGGGGAGTCCAAAACTGGACATCACATTGCAAGATCCTGTCCACTTGAGTGACAATGTCCTTTCCTGCAAAGCCACCCTTTTTCCCACGGTACTGTCACATGTGATGTGCACCTGGCATGAAGCAAGCTTCACAACTGTATGTGCTGAACTTTGTCAAGTTTCTGCCAGTTCATTTCTGTGAAGGCACTCTGAACACCAGCTCTAACCCCCAGTCTATCAACTACTCCCTCACTTTGGTATCATTGGTGAACTTCCTATAAGCACACTCCAGCCCCTCACCCAGGTGTGCAGTAAAAGCATTAAGTAGCATTGGTTCCAGTATAAATTCCTGAGGAAGACCTGTAGAAACCAGCTGTTAGCTGGACATTGTACTGCTGAAGCCAGTTCTTCAAGACCAGTCATTTAGCCAGATGTCTCTGCAATGCTACTAAACGATATTTGGGAGATTCGTAAGTGTACTCACACTTAGAACCTTATTTTAAAGCAGAAATTGAGAAAAACAAAAAAATTAATCTCCCATTTGATAAACAACTGTATATAAATATTAATATATATAATATGGAGCCAAATATAAATTACAAAATAGGCTACATTAGTCAGCTGTATGCAAAAGATTTGATAATCAACTGACAAATCCTAGCCTCTGGCAAATGCAGTTGTAGAGGCAAAGTCATGCTGTTATCAGTATGGAAAAGTCAGTTTTCAGGGATTAAAGCTGAAATAAAACTATGCTGACAAAAGGACATCTTTGTTTCCACTAAAAGCATCAGTGCACTACAGAACACTCTTGTAAAGTTTTAGTCACAAATTTAAATTGGGAAAAGAACTGGGTACTCCGGGATTGCACATACACAAAAAACAACCCCCTCATGTAATTCATTTCATCAATCAGCAGTGTTTTTCACTAGGCCAAAAATCTGGTTCTAAACACATTTTTCAATTTCTTCATGCTTTGCCTCATGTTTTACACAAACTTGCTGGACACTTCTACAGCTTTCCTCCAAAAAAAGATTCTACTTGGAAGAGTCTTCTCCTGGGCAGGTTCTACTGCCAACCATACTCAACTGGGTGGGTACAAAAATACATCGTCCCTCCAGACTATTACTGTCAACTTTAAGACACTGCTTCCAAGCAGTTTGCTTCTTAATCAGGTAACACCACTCATTCTGCCTATATTAATAAAAAAAAAGAAGCATCTTACTTGGATCCTTGCTACCAATTAACACAGAGACAATTGTTTCCCTTATCATCTCCTTCTCTTTGTTTCTAAACACCCTACAGCTGTTGGAAGGTGTTGTCCAGCTAGAAGTATGACCCATCCTTGCATGGGCCAGTCTCCTAAACTCATTCTTGTTTGTACAGAGCATGTTAGAGACAGCTGTACTCCAACATTTTAACTAAATTTGTCTGAATGTCTGTTGAGAGCTGTGTTCCTGTGGTACAATTTTTATTGATTACACCATTAAAAAGAAAAATTTAAAAAAATTAAAAGTTCTCAAATTGATTGTTTAGAATGAAGCATGTTACCTGGTAATCTAAAGACGAAATGATCAGCTACTACGTGGCAGTATCTCTTCTTTTGTATAAGAAGTCTAGCCATGAAATAGACACAATCAGCAGGAGTAGCTCCATGATAAAACACAATAAGTCCTGGACCTTCAGGAATATTTTCAGCACCGTGAAGTTCATAACCTGTTAGAAGTTAAAGGCATAACAGATGTCAAAGTCTGATACAATTGCATCCCAAAGAAACTAACGGCAAGTTGGTAAACTGAAATCAATAGCTATTGAGAAGTAGTAACAGCAAAGCGACCTCTAAAAACTCAAGAAGTGACTTGCAGTATTTACTAAGTTGCTTTCACAGGAGATGCAGGTTTAATTTAAAGCAGAAGAAACATATTTAAAGAAAGAAGAACAAAAGGATAAAAAAAACCCTGAAAACAAACCACCCAGTCTCACTCTCTTGAAGTATATATTTTTTCCTTATTTTTTCAGTTCACTGTCTTCAAGGCTGCAGAGTCCTCCAATCATTCAAGAGAAATCACAATCAGGATTGGATAGGAGACACAAAACAACTATTTCAAGTTATTATTTACCTTTCAAAGCTCATTGCCACCAGTAACTATTTAAGAAGATGTGACGTGACAACATCCATTTACATGTCTCATTTTATTCCAGCGTATGAAGATTATCTTTGTTATTTCTCTCAGAGTTATACTTGCTCCAGTTTTCCATCACTAAGTACTAAAAGCTGTTTGGGGTTTTACATGCTTAATTGAAATATACATAAACACAGACAAGTTTCTTACTGAACTTACATCTCTAATTAAGTTAACAGTGCAGAATATATTCAGTTAACACAAAATATCAGAATGCATCAGTATAGAACATTCAGTTAATATCAAGCAGTACTGTTACAGTATCTTGTGTTTTTTTTAAAGAAATAATAAAAACCAAATAAAAAACCCCAAACCCTGTCACTTCTTCCAAAGTTAGTAAGGTCTGCAATTCCCAATCCAGTGAATTATTTTTAGTCCTATAGGTACTTTTGGCTCTTCTTCTATTTTTCTTTCTATACCTGTGGAGCTGCAACATGTTGCAAGCATAGTGAACCAAGTGATCACGGACTGTGCTCCATGACAGCTGGTCATAACCAGAATGATACCTACATCTAGCATTTACATAATATATATGAAGTTGCATGTATCACATACCACTTTGGTGCTTGGGGCTTTTGGGGGTTGGAGTTGTTTTGTTTAGGGTCTTTTTTTTCCCAGTGCTGTGAGATTTCAGGAGAGAAAGTTCTTCCTATCATATATTGATTAATCAAGTGGGAGAAAAAATAATCACAAAATATTTTACTCTTTAGCAAGAGAAGTGCATAGAGAACATGGAAGCAGCTGGCAGGGCAGAAAAAAGTCACAACTGTCAATGAGGAACTGGATAAGAATCTTTTCTGCACAAATAAAAAGTCAGACCTTAGAAAAAGTTACTAAGGATGAAAAGAGACAAGGACTTAAAAAAAAATCATTTTCTTATGAAAAAAGTAAATAGCTTTTTATTGTGAAGTGAGCATTTTAAGCTCTTTGATGTAGCTGTTGATTTTGATCTAGTGTACTTTCCTAGATTTGAAAGTTACATCTTAGTCTTACAAAGCCTATCTGATACAGCCGCTGCACCATCTGGTTATCAATGCCTTGAAAACCCACTTCCCTTTGACTAGAGAACAAATAGAGATGATTTTCAAGGAGGATTTGTTCTTTATGTAAATTGCTCTTAAACATCTCTTTCTCCTTTAGCTGTGTCTAGCTGAATGGCTCTGAAAGAGGCTTATGATTTCCTTCGAAAGAAAAGCCAAATCATTTATTAAGTCTGTCTTTATAAAGAAATAATAGTAGAAGGACAAGAAACAGAGCCCTCAGTTTTAACATTGTAATAGAGAAAGTAGTTGGACAAAAATACATAGAAAGAAAATAAAAAAGTAGGGTTCTGTAACAGGCTCTAAAGTTAATTTGAAGCAGCAACTAGTGAGGGAACTGAGTTCTCCATTTAGCCATCATCTGGCATTACATGTAAAAGGCCGGTTAAGCGCAATTAAATAACACTAACATCCTGACATACCAGCTATTAGAGAACTGGCATTTAACTTTGAGTGTTTATATACTGACTCTGAAATAATATAGTAAATTGATCTAATTTTTAACATAGACATTTCAGGTCCTCCACAAATGAGGAAATTCAGTAGTTATAAAAAAAGAAAAACAATAAATACACAATTCAAAAAATGCCTATATATTCAACTGGATGAATGCTCTCATTTTGCAGCAGCAAAGGAATAAATGCATAAGACAAAAAAATTTACATCCAAAAAAGTGGCTTTTATTTCTCCCAGGCACCACTGGTGTTCATTGGTAAAATGGGAAATATTATTGGCCTGAATTTTAAATTTCATGCAACAGCAGCACAATCAGTTATATACCGATAATCCTGAAAGGTAAGCCAGGAATAAGAGCTTCAGTGGTTTTTAATCAAACATCAGATCTCACCTACCATGCCATATTCTTCCATGTCCATCCCATAAGGTAGCCAACATTTGTTTTGCACCATCCCAGAAATCATTGGAATAGGCTTCCTTTAGTTCATTCTTCCTTTTATAAATATGAAGAAGGAGAATGGAAGTGTAGAAGAGGATGACAAGAACTCCTGGTAGTAGAAAAACTGCTACAAGTGGAAAAAGCACCCATGAAAGGTAGACTGCATAACTCAGATAATCTTCAATATGCTCCACGCCAGTCCATTCTCGCAGAATGTAAGTCAGGCAGGTTAAGTAGGACATAGGCATCGGCCCTGCAGCACAGGATTCATTTCCACCTATCATCTCCTGTGAAATTAAAAAAAAAAAAGTAAAGTAATAAATCCTAAAAAAAGGCAGATCTGCCTATCCTGCTTTAGCATACAAAAAACCTCTCTAATGCATTTTATTCATGTACCATTTACCCCACATCCCAGCAGCACCTATTAGAAACATAGTGGTTCACACAGCAAAACTTTTACTTGACTTTTTTTAATCTTTTTCTTTCGCGTGGTGGAAATGCTGACAATTCTAGTTGAGAAAGACAGTGCAATTGCTTAATCTCAGGATAAGATTTTATCTCCTTAAAAATGTTCAACTGATGCAGATCCAGAACACTTAATACTGTTACCAACAATTTACATTGTTCTACGTAATACACGGTACATTCAAAACCTTTTCCCAAGCACTTATTACAAGAGGGAATGGCACAATTTCAAATCCAGTGCTATAATACCTGCTGAATACTTCCACTAACCACAAGCATGTGACAATTCGGGAAGAAGATCGTCTTAAATATGCAAATCTCACTCCTGGACAGAACTTTACTTGTACCTGGAAATTTACAGATAGTGAAACACCAAGTTCAATGCACAACACAGACAGGCAGCAGAAAGGACAAAGAAAACAAATACAAAAGTCCTTTAAAAGTTTTAACTGCTCTGGCTTTACTGTACCTATCTCTCCTCTCCAGTGCCAGCTCCTAAGAATTTTCAGGGCTAGACCTCTCTAGGCTGGAATTTCAGGTCTTCTGTAATTCCAGAGCAATATTTTTTTCTTAGCTTAGTAAAATTTAGAGGAAAACTTGCTATTCACTTCATCTTACAAACATGAGACAACTTGTATGCTTGGGTACTTTAGCTACAGTTCTAGTACACTGTAAATGATACCTTGTGGAAAAAAATTATCCTAATCTAGACTAAAGGTTTGGTCAAGACTTGAAGTAACTACTAGTCAACACTGAGAACAAAAACATGTTGAAACTATAATGGAGGCTTGTAGACAGAAATGGATTAAGAACAGGAATTTCTGAAAGAATCTAAGCTCAGAGTTTTTGTGTTTTTTTTTTTTTATTAAAATGTTTGGTTTTTTTTTAATTAAAATGTGACTTAGAGCATGTATGACTGCAGAGTTCCCACGTCGAGAGAGACGTATGTCTATCACTCCTTTAGTGTTGCTTTTTTCTTGCAAGCAGTACGTGACTGAAATTCAGAAGATAACTAATACTACCAGAACTCTAATGACAACACAAAAAAGACAAAGCAGATCAGTTTTACTCCACATTTGCTATGAGATGTTGAAACATGTGCTACAGCAGAACTCATCTCACTTTTTTCCCGGTCTCAATTTTTCCTCCAATCCTGACAGAGCAAGGATGTTCCTTTTCCTTCTGTTTTGAAATCAGCCCGTACCCACATTGCCCAAGTTAAGCCCTACTGACAAGAAAGCTGATCGTGTGACAAGGACTTTGCTCCCACGATCCATGCCTGTTCCACTAATTCAGGCTTGCAACATTTCACTCCTCAGCATGTTCCTGAAGACAATGCGAGAAGAAGCTGATTTATCCTCAGTGATGTATAAGCATGTAGCATTAGTGACAAGCACTTCACTGATTTCATGCACATGTGTTTGGGGGTGTGAATTAGGGGGGAAAGGACAGGAAAAACTGAGCATGTGGGAGAGCAAGAGAAAGCCCTTTCTCACTGCGGTCACCAGAGCCAAACTCCAGAACCTGTCAAGCAGCAAACACCCACAGCAAATATAAGAAACACAAGTTGTGATATCAAGCAGGATTTAAGAGTAGCATTCAACACTACAATATTTATCAGATGGTTATGCCTGGACTTCTCCAGCAGTTCCACCTACTAGCTAGAGAACAATACAGATCATGGATTATGGCACAAACTTTTCAAAACTCAGAGGTGATTATATAGCTTTAAAGATTACAGTTACACTCTCCCATCTATTATCCTTTTGCTTATGGCTTTCTCCAGAACAAAATCCTCATCAAGTAAAGTTAACATCCTGTCCACACATGTCAGCCTTGCAAAATGCAACTTGTCCTTTTGCCTGCAATGTTAGATGCAATACCTCAAATGCCACCATCACTGTTTGCAAGTTGCATATTTATGCACTAACCTGTAACAGAAATTAAGATCTGACCTCCTCTTTGCTGTCAGCCACAGAGCTAACATCTAAAGTGTTGCCTTCTCTTAGGAACAGTCAACTCCATTCTGAACAATGTTGTTTCGTCATCTTGAAGGGAATCATAGAATAATTTATAATAGAAAGATTCACTGGACAGCACCTGTCCAACCTTTAGCTAACTAAGGAGTCAGATCAGGTTGCTCAGGGCAGTGTCCAGCCCAGTTTGTAGCATCTGCATGCATGGATATTCCACTGCTTCCCTGGACCCCCAATCCCCAATCAAGCACAAGTGTCTGATCACCCTCATGGTGAAAATGTTTTTCCTTATCCTGGTTATAATTCCCCTTACTGCAATTTGTGTCAGTTGTCTCATGTCCCTTTACTGAGAAAGGTCTAACTCCCCCCCACACACACATAACCACTCATTAAGAGGCGCAGTAAGATCCCCTTTAAGCCTTCTTCTTCAGGCTAAACACAAAGCTATCTCACCCTCTCCACAGACACCATGTGCTTGAGACTCTAACAGAGCTGGTGGCCCTCCTCTGCACCCCTTCCAGTTTTTCAGCATTTCTTGTATTGTGGGGGTCCAAACTTGACTTGTAGTCCTAAATGTGCTGAAGAGGGTTATAAATACTTCCTCGATCTAATGGCTGTAGCCTTGCTAGCATAGCCCAAAATGTAGGTAGCCAACCTCACTTATATTTGACTTACCGTCCACCAGATAAAGGCCTTCTTCATGCCTTTATCTCTTGTAATTTTGCTCCCTCTGCAACAGGTCCAGCATTTGTTTTGATCACCCATTGTACAGCCACAAAAATATATCTAAGTGATGTATGTGACTGCCACACTGAACACACTAACAAAGATAACAGCAGTGAAGAAGGGAAAATAGATTCTGTCTCCATTTCCAAAAAAGCACAGGATGCTCCATATTACGTAAAGGTCCAACATAGTTCATATATGCCACTTTCATGGTTTAAGCCCAGCTGGTAACTCAGAACCATGCAGCCACTTCACTCTCTCCCCACCTTTTTTTCTCCCCTGCTCCTGGAGTGATGGGGAAGAGAATCAAAAGAATGCAAATCTCACGGGTTCAGATAAGAACAGTCCAGTAACTAAGGTATAACACAAACCCACTACTGCTACCACCAATAATAATGATAAGGGAAATAACAAGGGAACATAGAACCAAAAAGGGAAGGAAAGGAAAAAACCCTATAAAAACAACAGGACAATACAATTGCTCACCACTGACTGATACCCAGTGATCTGGACCTTCCAGGAAACTGCCCCCAGTTTTATATATTGGGCATGACATGCTGTGGTATGGAATACCCCTTTGGCTAGTTTGGGTCAGGCGTCCTGTCTCTGCTCCCTCTCGTCTTTCCATGCCCCTCCTCATTGGCAGAGCATGAGACTGAAAAGTCCTTGATCGGGGTAAGCATTACTTAGCAACAACTAAAACATCGGTGTATTATCAGCACTGTTCTCAGGCTAAAGTTGAAAACACAGCACTGTACCAGCTACTAAGAACGAGAAAAATAACCATTACAGCTGAACGCAGGACAACTACTAACAGATATTGTCATTTTGGTCTGTTCCAAATTTACAGCTGCCCAGAGCAGATAAAGGAGTGAGATAAAGCAGCACAGTCTTCTAGAAACACCACCATGTCAACCTGATTAGGACCTCATCTAAGCAGAGACTATCCTGCCCTACTTGTCAGAGGTTTTCTGACATCAGTCACTGTCCAGATCTAAAAACTTCAATGGGGTGCAGTACTACTAAGTCTCAGCATTAGCTGACTTACAGGCAGAATCCCTCTGTAATACGAGCATATCCTTAAAAAACGTATTTTAACTGACATCACTAACACATTTCCCGTTGTGTAGCTCAAAGTAAAAACTTTTAAGTTCAAACTTTCCAATAGAAAATCTTACATACAGTTTCACAGATGAAAAAGATGCAATTTGTCATCTGACTAATGATGGTGCACACTGACTTACACTTACGGTTAAGGCTTTACACTGTCTGTGAAGCGGAAACAAGGCTAAAATATAATTCCTTTCACTGACTTCTAGCATGCAACCCGGGAAAATCCTTAACTAAACTACAGTAATCTGCAGCTGTAGTGCACAGACACTGGGTTAAACCGAGACCCTACTGATCATGCTACAAGCAGCAATTACAGAAAGCAACATATACTGCTGTAAATTCTTCACTATGAGGGTGGTGAGGCACTGGAACAGGTTGCCCATCCCTGGCAGCCAGCCTGGATGGGACTTTGAGCAACCTGGTCTCGTGGAAAGTGTCCCTGACTGCAGCAGTGGGGCTGGAACTAGATGATCTTTAACGTCCCTTCTAACCTAAACCCTTCTATGATTCTCTGAAACCATGCACAACATGATTTTAGCATGTGTATGAAATGTATAAGTTGAACCTCTGGAGATGTCACTATCCCAGTCAGCTCTTGTCATGCCACACCTGGAATACTGTGTTCAGTTTTGGTCCCCGCTATAAAAAAAGGTCCCCACTGTGGACAGGCTGGAAAGGGTCCAGAGAAGGGCCACAGAGATGATCAAAGGGCTGTGAAGCCATGGGAGGAAAGACTAACAAAGCTGGGTCTGTTCAGCCTGGAAGAAAGAAGGCTTAGGGGACACCTTATCACCATGTTCCGGTATTTAAAGGTGGCTACAAAGAAGACAGAGACTCCCTTTTTACAAGTCACATGCAAAAGATACGGCAATGGGCACAAATTATCCTGGGGAGATTCCGACTGGGCACAAGAGGAAAATATTTCATCATAAGAACAATCAGCCCCAACATCAGATGCTGTAATATGTGGCTGGGCAGGGTGCTGAGACATCTTGTCTAGACCGTGC